CAGTACCCTATATGGTACCCCGAGTCCTGCCAGAAGTGATTCCTGAACATCACCAGGTGGACCCCCACCCCAGAAAAAGTCAAAGTGATCAACTATGAAACCCAAGGTCCTGGAACCCAAAGCCTTGGACTAGGCTGGAGCAGTTACACCAACGACAGAGAGCCCGCGCTGGTGCTGTGATCCGCCCAGCTTCCATTCTGGACACTGGCTAGTCCTCCAAAAACCCCCAGGAGTGCTCCCTAAGCAGAGCCAGGAGTAAGCCCCAAACACCACCAGGCACTCCCATCCCTCCAAAAAAAAAAAAAAAAAAGAAAGAAAGTTTTTAATTAAAAAAACAAAAAAAATCCTTACTACACCACCAGTTGTTACCTAACCTCTAAGCTGTTACTGTAACATCTAGGTAAAATGTTACCACAGTGCTTAGACAGAGCACTGGGGGCACTTAAGAAACATCAGCTGAACCTCCACCCACAAGGAAACATGTCACTGTACCGGCCAGAGGTGGTCAGGGGCCAGCTTTAATCAGCATCCCCAGGGACACGGGGTGTGGCCCCCACACCGTAAAAGAAACCATACTTACTAAGGAATGATTGTACTGGAAAGTTTCGGAAAAGCCTACATCCAACTGCTCCAGTTCCCAGGACTCAGAGTTTTCACTTTGTAAACAAATATCAAATGGGAACCATTTAAACTGAACACCAGAATGGAAGTCACCTAGCCTGCGCTAATCTACATCTCGGAACAGAACGTATGCGGCTGAGGTCCTCAATCTCTACATAAATTTGAGAAGTATTTCATTAATGAGAAAAGTCCACCAAGTCTCTAAAAACAGTGCTCAGGCCAGAGTGACAGTACCGGGGTAGGGTGTTCGCCCACCAGCAACTGATCCCTGAGTGCAGAGCCAGGAGGAAGCCCTGGGCACCGCCAGGGGCGGCCCAGAATCCAGAATCACAGAAACAAAAAACCAATACTAGTGAAACACGCAGAAATCACTCCTCAAACCCTTGGTGCCAAGAGGGTTTTCACACCTGTCGGCTCATTTACCCTCCACAACCCTCTACACGTCACTGTCATCACCAACTGACAACCAAGGCAATGACACACCAGGGCCAACGCACCAGGGCCAGCACACTTGGGCCGACAGCAGCTGGGGAACCGGGACCCCCAGCTGGCCCATTCCCGCCTCTGACCCCCTCAGTTCAAGCATTTGCTGCTCCAGCCCAGAAGCATCTGAGAACCCTCCGAGAACATTCCACGAAGGAAAACAAGGGAATCAAGCACCTGGCAAATAGTAGGCACATCGGATCCGTGTGTTCTAGATCCTCCTGTCCTGTCTCTACACCAAGGAGTGATCCGACGACAAGCTTCTCAGCACAGCTGTCTTAAAAGTCTATCCGCCAGCCCCTGAGAGTCCACAGGGCCCGCTAGCCGACACGCATCTCATTTAAAAGGAGGAGGCGTCTGTGATGAAACTGCATCATTCCCATCCGCACATCACTCCTATTGGCAGTTAACTAGGTTCCATTCAGTGCAACCCTTTCTCTTTCGAATGCCTTCCCCTATTTTGTACAAGGATCATCAATATATATATATATATATTTTTTTTTTTGGCTTTTTGGGTCACACCCAGCGATGCACAGGGGTTACTCCTGGCTCTGCACTCAAGAATTACTCCTGGCAGTGCTGGGGGGACCATATGGGATGTCGGGGATTGAACCCGGGTCTGCCGCATGCAAGGCAAACACCCTACCCGCCGTACTATGGCTCCGGCCCCAAGATCATCAATATTGGCATCAAGTTCAATAGAGCAGATACAATATGCCAGGCAGCCTGGGGCTAACTCCTGCCTCTGTGCTCTGGGCGGACTCATGGACCATACAGATGTCAGGGATCAAGCACACAGGCTCTGCCCCAAAACACTTTTTTATGATCTCTTCTCTTAGACGGGGTAACACCTTCTAAAATCCCCCTCAGAAACAAACCCCTGAGCTCTGCCAAGTCCGCTGCTAAACTCTTCCCCTGTCCCCTGCGATTCTACTTTCCCTTCACTGATCACTACTAGACACCAATTCTCAGCCACCAGGGGAGAAAGCACAGGAAGAGAAATGAGAGAGTCTGCCTTTGGGCACTTGGTAGTTCAGAGGGTGATGGCCAAACAAGTCATTACAATACAACTTGATACAAAAAAGCAAAAGTCAAGAAGTGGTTGTAAGTATAACCAGAATCTGGGTCTGGGCAGGAAAGGCCTCTGGAAGGTGGAGTGTATCCTCGCAGGGATTAGGAAGCCTTCCTGACTTCCTGATTCCGGCTGTTCCCTCTCCTGCCCCCCCCAAAAAAAAACTCCCGAATACACAAGTGTTCCCCACTGTGCAGGCACAGACCCTTCAGGCCACTTCTGAGTGTCCTCAATATATCCCAGGATATATTCATGGGTTCTGAAAAGCCAATCAATCTTCACCACTTTATTTGGGCCAGAACCCATTCATTTCCTGAGACTGTTACCCTCAAAGGACGTAAAAGATTCTGGAAAACCCACCAGTGAAAAACAGGCGGCTTTCTGGGGGGGAGAGGGGGGAGGGGGACACGCCCAGTGGCCTTCAGGGAACCTTATGGGGTACTGGGGATTAACCCTGGGTCTGTCCCCGGCAAGTGCCCCATTCACCGGGCTATCCCTTCAGCCCCTACGTAGGTCACGATTTTTAGACAGCCAACACAAAGCCAATCGCTACCATGAATCCATGAACCCATTCAAGGTAAAACAGGCATTCAAGTATTTAAGCATAGTCTTACCTACACTAAATCAATTGTCTCCAATCACTGCTTCTTAGACTGACTAAATACACTCTCAATCCAACCACAAACAGAACCCCAAAATTTAAGCCAATTTCCCAAGACTTTTAAAAGGACTGGAGCAAGCACCAAGTATAATAAAGATAATACAAAAGACACAAAAAGGGGGGGGGGGGAGAATGAGAATCTCTCATCCTGAAAGATCCAAATTTCTGCCCCAAATTCTCCTCCAGCTCCTTTCAAAACATCAATATTATGAATACCGCTTTTAAATCTTTAATGAAGGGTAACACAAATGTAAACACTGAGGAACTCAACCCCACAGAAAGGCACCGCAAATTATGTCTAGCACTTTGTCCGCGGCATTTCTTTGTCTCCATTTTTATGAAACCTTAGAGTAGGTACACATTAGATCATCGCAACAATGATAATCTTAAGAGTGCCTGTGTGCTTAAATCCCTACCTTTAAACCTATTCACTTTCCACAAAAAACTGAAATTTAAGATGCAATTTGGCGTGGCGCTTAAGTGTTCCGTGGCCTGTAAGTATTACATTCACCAACTCACCACCAAGAGAAAAACGGAATTGGAATTCTTTTTCTCCAGCACTAAAATCCTATCTTGCCCTAACTTCAGAGGCTACGAAAAGGGTGGTACTCGTGCATAACTTAATGGCCTTTTCACTTTCTTGCAAACAAATGATCAATAGCCCTAGCAGAGATTAGCACGCCTGGTTCTCTATTTTATTCATAGTTTGTCCCGTGAAAGACTAATGGAGGAGGGGAGATCCCTCCAAACCACCCCCTGAAGTACATAAAAACCCCGTCCAACTGTGACAGCCGGTGTTCGTGAAGATTCTAGCGTTTCCTATAACATTAAAACGCCACCAAAGGACATCTATGCCCTTTGAAACCTGGAGCGTCAACTCGCCGAAACACTCGGCGAATTCCAAAGTCGGGTTTTCTTTTTCATTGCCAAATGCCATTTCCCAGCCGAGCAGGCCGGTGCGCCGAACAAAGGAAGTTTAAGCTCCCACCCGGGAGCGCACACGGCGAATTTCGCGGGGACCCCCACGTCTCCCCACACCGGCTCGTGTCTGTGTCGCGCCAAAGCCATTGTTCGCGCAGAACAAGTCCAATTAGGAAGAAACTGCTCAGCCCGCGGCGGGCCCGCGCTCCTGCGTGCCAGGCGTTTTCTCTTCCTCCCCGACTTCCCCGTCTCCTCCCCGCGCACCCCGGGGGGCCGGGGAGGGGGGTGGTGGAAAGAAAAAAAAAATCACTCGGGGTGATGGTGGGTTTCTTCTTTCGGGAGCACCTGTCGCCAAGCTCGGGCGCGCGGCACCAGTTGGCCCAAAGCGCTCGAAAACCCGTTTCTAGATTTCGTTTTTTTTGCTTTTTTTTTTTTGTCTTTTGGGTTTTTTGTTTTGTTTTGGTGAGATCACGGGTCCTTCTTCACCAAGTGGGAACTCGTGGGCGCGAGTTCCCCGAGCTGTCCCCCTCCTCGGGTTCCTCCCCTTCCCCCCAGCCCCGGAATGAGACGTGGGCGGAGGGGCGCAGACTTTGGGGAGCGGGAGAGGGGGAACAGGGGGGCCCCGCCAAGCCGCCCGCGAGCCCCCCACCTCGTGCCCGGCCCGAGACGCTCGTCCCTTCCCGCAACTTCCCATCAAGTCGGCGCGGGCGGCCGCGGATGGGGGCGGGGGGCGCGCGGGGGTCCCGCGGCGGGCGCCCCCCGCCCCGCGCCCCCCTCCGAGCCGCGCGCGTCCTTTGTCTGAGTGGCACTCGGCGCCGGGGTCCCGGCAACTTGCGCGCGTCCCGCGTCCCCCCCGCGCCGCCGGCCGCCCCGCGCCCACACAAAGGAGCCCCGGGCTCGGCCGGTCGGTGCGCCCCGACTCTCCGGGGGTCCCCCGCCACCCAGCCCGCGCCGGCGCCCCGACTGGGGCGGCCACGCGGGACGATCCCCCCCCACCACCACCGACCCGGGGCGCGGGGCCGGGGCGCGGGGGTGCGAGCGCGCGGACCCTGCACCCTCCCGATCCCCGGCAGCGGCTGGCGTGGGGGGGTCTCCCCGCCGTCTCCAACGCCGCCGCCGCCGCCCCGGGAGCGCCCGCGCGGGGCGGCGAGCCCCCCGATCGGGGACCCCCGTCCCGGCGCCCGCGCCGCCGCCCCGGCTCCGGAGCCCCGCGGCCGGCCGGGCCCGCCAGCGGCGCGTTACCTGCGCGCCCCGCGCCCCGGCCGCGCCGCTCCCGCGCGCCGGCCCCGCCGCCAACTCCGCCGCCGCCGGGGCTCCGCCGCCTTCTGCGTCCCGGCGGGTGTCGGGCGCTCCCGGACCGAGCGCCAAAGCCGACAGCCCAATCGCCATCGCTTTTATTTGGCCCCCCCGGTGCATCCAAGCGCCGCCCCGATTGGCGGGACGCGCCGCGCGCTCGGGCCAATCACGGGGCCCGCCGGCCCCGGCCGCGCCGCGCCGCGCCGGCCCCGCGCACACGCGCCCGCGGGACGCGGCCCGGGCCGGGCAGGCGCGCGCGCGCGTGCGCCGGCGGCCGGCGCCGGCCCGGCCCTTTGTTCTGGCGCGGGACGCCGGGCGCGGGGTTGGCGGGGTTGGCGGCGGCGGCGGGCGCGGGGCTCTCCGGGGATCCGTCACCCGCGGGGCCGGGGAGGCGGGGCCCGGCCGGGTGGCGCGCGCGCGCGCGGCGCTTGGCGGGAACCGCCGCCGGCCAGTTCCCGGGCCGGAGGGGCGGGGCGGGGCCCGAGGCCAAGTTTGAAATCAGTTCAAAAACTCGGAGGTGGTAACGGCTGCAACGGCCCGGGAGCGGCGGCGGCGGCGGGTGGGGTGCGCCCCGCGACCCTCCGTCCCGGCTGGACTCGCGGGACCCGCGGCGTGCGGGCAGCCGAGCACGTGTCCACGCTCCCGGTTCGCGTCTCCGCGCCGGGCCAGCCGGTCCCCGGAGCTGGGGGACAGGTTTTCCTGCTTCAGCTAAGGGTAGTGATTCTGCTCGGTGCAGGTACCGGACAGACCTGGGACTCCGCAGTTCAGAGCCAGGGGATGGGCTTGGCGGGGGCGGACTGGAGACTTCGCTCAGCGGACCGGGTGCGAGGAGCCAGACTCCAGCCCTGGCATCCCTGGCTTCCCTCCCCGCCCCTCCCCAGCACCGTCAGGTGCAAGCCCCCCCAAAATCCCAAACGCCAGGAGCAAAAAAGCCAAGTCTGAAGTGTTGGGTTAGCAAAAACACCTAAAACAACGGTGCCCTTTTTTTTTAAGAAAGAAATGTGTGTTTTTTATCGTTTTAAGTCACACTTTCTTCATTTACTTATTGAACGCATGGCTTTTCCACTTTCACTAACTCACATCCCCCGACCCTTGCTCCCTTACTCCAGGCTGCTTTGTGAGCGAGCATGCGGGCGGAGGGGGGGGGGGGGCTGCGAAGACCCTCGTGCTTGGCCGCCAGATGTGCCCAGACACAACCCTGCGAATAAAATGCACCTAGAAATCAGTGGAAAGAGGGCAGGTATTAGTAGGTTGTGTGTCTGGGACGTGACTGAAATGAAGGATGCCCTCCGAACAATCTAGAAGTCTGGGAGTTTCCACCTAGGCCGGGAGGAGGGGCACTCGAATCAAGACCTCCAGTGCAAGGGCCCGGGACATGGCGCTGGGGTGGGGAACCCTGCAGGACCCCTCCCCCATGTTCAGAGAACCCAGGGGTACAGGGGCCAGACCCGGGGCTTCACAGGCAAAGCAGGTGATGCGCCACCAGGCCAGCTTCTCAGCCCATTAACTGGACATTGAAACCCCCACAGAAAACTATCCCTGAAATGCTCCTCAAAGCACTACCTTGTCTTTTATTTATATTAAGCATTAAAACAATGTGGACTTTCCCTCCCCCCCCCCCAAGGAAAATCAAGGCAATGGCATTGACTGAGGTGACCAGAGAGCAGCTCTTTTTATCAATTTATGAAACTATCCAGCATAGAACTGGAGTGAGGGGCTGGAGCGATAGGACAGCAGGTAGGGCGTTTCCCTTGCACGCGGCCGACCTGGGTTCGATTCCCAGCATCTCATATGGTCTGTCCCCCGAACACCGCCAGGAGTAATTCCTGAGCACATGAGCCAGGAGGGACCTCTGTGCAGCACCGGGTGTGACCCAAAAAGCAAAAAAAAAAAAAGAAAAAAGAAAGAACTGGAGTGATAGGACCGTGGGCCGGGCACTAGACTTGTAGGGTGGATGACCCAGGCTTACCCCCAGACATCCATATGGTTCCCTTAGGAGTGATTCCTGAGTGCAGGGCTAGGAGTAAGCCCTGTGCATTGCCAGGTGTGTCCCTCCCCCCAAAAAAAATTAAAATGGAGAGCTAAACTAGGAATGTGGAACAAATCTCCCTAAGCCACTGCCCTTCCCCCAGGCCCCTGGGCCTAGCAGGACATACCCTCTGGGTTTTCCTGGGGGAATGGGAGGAGTCAGCATTTGCCTGTTTTCCTCTGGAGAACTTCCCCCTTCCTTGCAGGGACGAGATTCACAGATTTGCAACACCACATGCATTGATGCAGTGGCCCTTGGACAAGCGTTTGGGGCTCGTGGGTTGCGCGAGAGACTGGCTAGGAGGGGGCCGGGAGGCCACTGGCCCTTACAGTGGGGACAGAAGCCAAAGCAGATCAAATCCAACAGCTTGTGAAATGCAGATGGATCAAATGGGGGAAGAGGCAGGCAGGAGGGAAGCCTAGAATAACGACCAGTCCGGGCTGGAGCCATTGCAACGGGTTGGGTCGGTCCTTTGCCTTGCGTGTGGCAGACCCTGTTTTGATCCCTGAGTGATTCCTGAGCGCAGAGCCGGGAGTGACCCCTGGGCATCGCTACACAAAGTGGGAATAGCCTGCTTTGAGAAATTAGAGCCAAAAGGGGGGAACTGGGGTCCTGAGAAGCTGCCGTGTCTGCAGGCACAGCAAAGGGACATAGACCAGCAATGCAAAGACCCCACATGAGGGACTAAGGCTTCAACAAATGGAAAGTTGTGGACTGCAGCACTTGCCTTGCACACAGCCAACCGGGGTTCGATCCCCGACCTCCCATAAGCTACCCCCAAGCCCTACCAAGAGTGAAAACAGCGCTAGTATAGCGCCCTAGTACTTTTTTTTTTTCATTTTGAGTCACACCTGGCGATGCACAGGGGTTACTCCCAGCTCTGCACTCAGAAATTACTTCTCGCAGTGCTCAGGGGACCATATGGGATGCCGGGTATCGAACCCGGGTCGATCGCGTGCAAGGCAAACTCCCTGCCCGCTCCAGCCCCCAGAGCCATAGTACAGCGGGTAAAGTGCTCACCTTGCATGTGGCTGGCCTGTGTTTGATCCCCAGCATCCCATATGGTCCCCCAGTCCCACCAGGATTGATTGAGCTGACTGCAGACCCAGGAGTAACCCCTAAGCACAGCAAGATGTGGCCCAAGACCAAAAACACAATTTTTTTTTTAAAGCATGCACAGAGCCAGGAATAAATCCTGAGCACAGCCAGGTGTGGCTCAAAAATAGCCACAAAAAAAAAAAAAACACAAAAAAAACAGTTGAGGGGCCGGAGCGATAGTACAGCAGTGGGGGTTTGCCTTACACTTGAATGAGGCCAACTGGGGTTTAATCCCCAGCATCCCTGAGCACTACCAGGAATAATTCCTGAGTGGAGGGCAGTAACCCCCGGGCAATGCTGGTGTTCCCAAAGAAACAAAGAAAAAAGCCCATCTAGAATGTGCATAGAGATACTCGAAAATAATCTTTTAAGTATTAGAATTAATGAGAGAAGTTAGCAAGGTCATTGGATTACAAAATTCAATTTTCATATGCGAACAATAAACAAAGAGGAAATTAAACTGTAAAACAAGCCATCTGCCTTTTAAAAAAAAATCAAATACCAGAGGCCAGAGAGAGAGAGTCTACTGCTTACTTACACCTAATCTACCCGAGTTCACTCCCTGCCATCCCATATGGCCCCCTGGGCAGAGAACCACCAGAAATGATGCCTGGTGCAGCGCCAGGAGTAATCCCCCAAGCATTGCAAGGTGTGACCCGAAACAAAAACACAAAAAGTAAAATACCTAGGAATGAGATGAGTCTGATCTTTAAAATAAGTGAGACCGGAGCTGGAAAGATAGCACAGTGGGTAGGGCGTTTGCCTTGCACACGGCCAGCCCAGGTTCGATTCCCAGCATCCCATATGGTCCCCTGAGCACTGCCCGGAGTAACCCGTGTACATCGCCGGGTGTGACCCAAAAAGCAAAAAAATAAAATAAGTGAGACCTTGATCAAGCCTGGAACAACGTTGGCAGGAAGTTGATGAGAAAGAAAGTGCCAGGCCTTTGTTGGTGAGAATGTTGATGGGTCAGACAGACTCTGTGGGAAATAGCACAGAATAGCTGGACTGTCCCTCTTAGGCCTGAGCGATAGTACAGCACTGGTACAAGGTACAAGGACATTGGCGTTGGAAGTGGTTGAACTGATTCAGTCCCCAGCATCACATATGGTCCCCTGAGTCGCCAGGATGGTTCCTGAGTGCAGAGCCAGAAGTCAGCCTGGGCCACCAGCAGGTGTTAACTAAAAAACATGAACAAAAGGAATAGCCTGCTTTTCAAGCCTGTGTTCTCCTGTGAATGTGCATCTCGCTTACTCTGTGCTGGTTTGTTCCACTCTGGAGAATTCCAGGTTCTCTCTTGAACATCTATTCTTCTCTTTCTCTCCTCTCACATCTTTCTAAGAAAATTTAGCTCAATAAAAACTATCTTGGGCTGGGCAGATAGTTGAGCAGGGAGGGGCCCGCCTTGCACTCAGCTGCTGACCCGGGGTTCGACCATATATCCGTCCTATATGGTCCCCGAGCACCACCAGGAGTGATTCCTGAGTGCAGAGCCAGCAGTAACCCCTGAGCATCGCCAGGTGTGGCCAAAAAATCAAAAATTTTTTAAAAAAAGCTGCACAGTCAGTGTATGGCCCCAAAACCAAATAAACAAACGAAAAAAAGCAGCAGTGGAGAGGTAGTGGAGAGGTTTGGCATTTTGGTTGGGGGAGGGAGGAGTTGTCCAGTAACTGTCCAACACAAATATGGACATTAACATGGAACCATTATCCCATATGGTCCCCCTTTAATGAAAGCTTTTCATTAAATTGTGCTAGACTTGCATACTGATTTTGCAAAACAAAACTGAGCAAAACTGAAAAGACCTGAATAAAGAGAGGGAATGTGATTGATACGATGACGCTGAAGATGCAGAAGCTAAACACAGTTCCAACATCTCAG